TTCCTCAAGTTTGCACAGTACTGAGCAGCCTTGTGTTTATAATCAAAACAGCATAGATAGGATTTGAATGTTGTGGGTGTACCTTGGGCTGCAGGACATCCCCAAGCCTGGGTGAACATCAGTGAGAGAACTCCCAGCATTCTAAAGGGATGGAGGCTGGTAGCCATTGGGGGGCCACTGGAGGGGGTGGCCATACTTATGGAGCTCTAATCCTAGGGAATAAACTTTCAAAAAGGTACTCTTAGCCCAGCACAGTGACTCAAGCCTATAATCATAGTTATTCGAGAGGTGAAGATCCAGAGATCACTGTTCAACATTAGCCCAGATATAGAAGTTTGCAAGACTCCATCTCAATCAGTGGCTGGACACAGTGGTGCACATCTGTCACTCAAGCAACAGAAAGAAGCACAAATAATAGAACTGTAGTCTAGGCTATTTCAGGGAATACATGAAGGCTCTGTCTTGATAATAACCTGTATACAAAGACTGGCAGCTTGGATCAAGTGATAGACTGCCTGCTTAGAAGGCATGGAGGCTTGACTTCTCTTACTGTGACAAAAGACCCAGGAAAATCAACTTACAAGGAAGAAAGATTTATTTTGGCTCAAAGGTCCAGAGATGTCAGTCTATAGTCACTTGACCTTGTTGCTTTGGGCCTGTAGCAGCACAGCACATGCTGGTGGGAGCCTATGGCCGAGGAGGCTGAATAATATCTCATGGTAGCTAAGAAACAAAAAGAAAGGAAGAGGAAAGAGCTGGGATTCCAATATTCCCTTCAAAGTTTTCTCTCTGTGACCTCACTTCCTCTCACTTGACCCCCAATTCTTAATGATTTCTCCATGCCCAAGTGCCACAAGCTGGAGACTATACCTTCAACACACTGAGCCTTTGCAGGTCATTCAAGATGCAAATTATAGCAATCTGTTTCCATCTTTGGACTCAGATTCCCTGTCACCAACACCACTGCTCCAAATCTGACATGTAACAAATGCCTACTGTCAGTCCTGATGATGTATCTCCTCAGCGTTCAAGATTGGGGTTCTACCTACTCAGGGGCGATTTTGCCTTCTTCTGCCCACAGAATAGTTGGCCATGTCTACAGATATTTTCTATTATCACAACTTTGGAGAGAGTCTTCTGACTTCTAGTGGATAGAGGCCCATGGATGCTATGAGGCCTTGTACAGTGCATAGGACAAACTCTTCCCCCAACAGAGAATTGTTTAGCTCAATTGTCAACATTTTCGAAGTTAAAACAAATATACTTGAAGGAAAACTGCCAATCTGAGTTCAAACTTAATGAGTTCAATGGGGTGAGTGTGGAAGTTTGCATGAAGCTAAGGATTAAAAGGCCTTGGGCGACTCTTTTTTCTATTGCATGCCACATTTGTGTGCAATTTGAAAAGAATGATTGCTTTCAGGTATGATCCTTCATTACTTGTTGCTATAGGACACAGTTTAACACAGTTTCCATGGATGCAATCATCATTTCACTCATCTATCATTCAAAGTTTCTTTTTCTTTATTTAATTTTTTATTGTTATTATAAAAGGGATGTACAAAGATTACATTACATGAGTCAGGTAAAGAGTACATTTCTTTTTTCTTTTTCTTGTCTTTTCTTCCTTTCTTTCTTCTTTCTTTCTTTTGTTGGTAATGGGGTTTAAACTCAGAGCCTGGGTACTGTCCCTGAGCTCTTTCACTCAAGGCTAGTGCTCTACCACTTTGAGCCACAGTGCTACTTCTGGCTTTCTGGTGGTTAATTGGAGTTAAGAGTCTCATGAACTAACCTCCTCAGGCTGGCTTTGAACCTTGATCCTCAGATCTCAGCCTCCTGAATAGCTAGGATTACAAGCATGAGCCACCAGCGTCCAGCAAGAATGCATTTCTTTTTGGACAATATCACCCCTTGCACTACTATCTCCGTTTTTCCCCTTCCAATCTCCCAGTTTTTCTGTCCTATTCTTACCCAGTCAGTGTCTAGTGAATACCACTGCTGCATTTGTGTACCCTTTACCCCTCCATTTCTGTTCCCTGCCTTACCCACCTAAAGACAGATAAACAAATAAGACAAAAAGACAAGACAAGAAAAACAAAACAAAAAAGCTCTCTTGTTTCCATTTCCTGGAGTTCATTTCAATAAATAGTATTTTATATGATCAGATGCACATAGACATTGCCATTTCTGTGTGCCTCTCTAAGCATATTTTCTTTTGCTCTCACTGTGTGTGAATGCCTCGAATCCTGTATAATTTATCATGTCCCCATGTATTTTAGGTCTATGAGAGAAACAGGCACCATTTGTCTCTGGAGCTCAGAGTTTCTTATGGAAATCATCAGAATACTTCACCTCCTTTTGCCATTACTGTATTTTGGTGTTCACTTGAACAGAACCCTCTGACATCTCCAAGTATGGAGAGACAGAAATATGAGGGAGAGAAATAAGTGACTTGATATTTATCCCTGCAAGTAGGCAGATGCCTATGGTCTCCTTCAACAGGACACCAAATAAATTTTTAAAAATCTTTGATAGCATCAAGATTCAGTATTTGGCTGTGTGTCAGTAGCTCACACTCACAAGGCTGAATTCTTTTTTTTTTTTTTGGTGGGGGGTCCGGTCATGGGGCCTGAACTCTGGGCCTGGGCGCTGTCCCTCAGCTCTTCAGCTCAAGGCTAGCACTCTACCACTTGAGCCACAGTGCCACTTCCGGCTTTTTTCTTTTTGCTTATGTGGTGCTGAGGAATCAAACCCAGGGCCTCATGCATGCAAGGCAAGCACTCTACCACTGAGCCAACTTTCCAGCCCCTCACAAGGCTGAATTCTAAGGATCACAGTTTGAAGCCAGTCCCAGCAGAAAAGTCTATGTGACTCTTATCTCCAATTAACCAGTAAAAATCCAGAAGTGGAGGCATGGCTCAAGCAGTAGAACACCAGTCTGAGTGAAAAAGCCAAGTGAGAGTATAAGGCTCTGAATACACATACACACACACACACACACACACACATTTAATATCTTACCATCCAGAATCACAGAATGAAACATCCAGAAGGAAACCACAGCTTCAGCAGCTGGGGAATACTTCAACCAAACTATCAATGCTGCTGTAAATCTATTAAGGGAGTTTGCTACCATAAAGTCTGAAGACACATGCCCACAGGTCAAACCCCATAAAATAACATGGAGAGCTGTCCCCCAACAATACAATATAATACATAAGTATATGAAATATATAAGATCATATAGTTCAGGTTATATAGTTATATAGTCATATAGTTCAGATACTAATACACTTATCATCCATGAGCATGTAAGTACCTAAGTATATGATAAGTAAATAAAGGAACCTGACAGGCAGAGCTAGTCAAAGCTCTCATGCTGAATTGTTGATGTCAGAGATGTCCTCTCTGTGTCTCAATCTGCTCATTTATAATATGAAAGAATCAAACCATGCTACAATGAAGCATCCTTCTAAAACACAGTGACAACTTGAGCTAAGCAAACTCATTTTCCCCTGTACTTCCTGAGTCCCCTTGACATAGAAATACAAGTTCAACCTGAGTTCTGAAGCCTAGGAATGAGTAAGAGTCTTAAGATTACTGTAAATACCTAAGAAGAAGGCTGGGAGGCACCTAGGGAAGGAGCTATTGCTCCTCCCCCTCCAGCCATAGAATAACACACTGTATACAGATACAAAGCTGTATTTGGCCTTGAACCAGCCCAGCATCTTGCATAGTGCAGTAAGTTCAGACTAAAGAGTGTGTGTTCGTACTCTAACACCTTGCAAAACAGCCCTGCCACTGATGAGAAGAGGCTTCTGGGTACTGTGGGAGCTGGGCTTGAGCCCCCAAAGTGCACCTTTCCAAGCTATGGCTGTGGAATGCCTTGGAGCTGCAGAAAGAGGGGCCACCATGAGTGTCCACAAGCTCATTACCCAGGAGCAACTTTTTTCCTTAAGATCAAACTGGGGCAGGCTAAGGGCAAACACAGCTGCCCGGTAACAGGAAGAACTTGCCCAGGATAGACTTGGAAGACTCAAAATTGGCTCCCCAAGCACTTTTCCCTGAAGGCTGCTCAAAAGAATGCAGAACTTGGGGACCAGTTTGGAATGCGAATGGGATGAGATGGGTCTGGGTCTGAGGTGAGATGCCGCCTCCCACCCAGCCTTGACCCCTTCCCTGTTCCTTCCATCCTACCAGTCTTGCTAGCAAGCACAAAGCCCAGGGGAAGAAGCCCAGCATTCCTGAGTTCCCATGGGAAAGAAAGACAAATCACCCACCCTGTGACCTCTTTTCTCTTCCAGTCTCTTCCTGGTTTGTGGGGAACAGCTTCTCCCAGGAGCCCACAAACATACACATGCAGACATCAGGAAGACAAATCCCACAGGAGCGGGGGTGGGGAATTGCACACTGCCCCATCAGAGACCCAGACGCTCAACCAGAGCTCTCTGAGATCTCCCCATCTGCAGCCCCGTGCATGCGTGTGAAAATGTCAAGACTTGGGGACAGACGGATATGAGTCCCCAAGCTCTTTTTCGGACAAGAAGCAAGATCCACATTGCTACCACCACCATCACCCCTCCTTGGATCCTTAGGCTTCCTCGTCTGCACACGACAAGGGTGACACGAGAGTGATTCGGAGGTTTCAATGAAACCCTGGAGGGCCGGTGCCCAGCACGCAAGGCGCTGCCAGGGACGGCTCCACAGTTTCCGTCCATGAGGGACCCAGATGCGCAGCTGGAGGAAGAGCAGAGGCAGAGGGCAAAGCATCTACCCCAGAGCTGCCTCCGCCCGGTGCCCCTGGTGCCCACGATGGCTTTTCCTCCTTTGGGGTCCCCCCACCCCTATTCCCCGCAAGGAGCTGATAGAGATCACCGTTGAGGGCAGAGCAGGACTCTCCTCTGCGGAATTTCTGCGCTCCCCACCCAATCCACCCCATCCCGCATAGGATCCTAAAGGGGCGAGCCCCTTGGGCAGCAGTCCGGGGAAGGTGTGGGACTCACCGTGCGTGCGGCGCCGGATAGCAGCACCAGTAGCAGCACCGGCACCCGCAGCGGCGGCGGGCAGGGGCGCATGGTGCGCCTCGCTCCTCCACTGCAGGCGCCCCGACGGTCGCTCGCTTCTACGCTCTGCCTGCACTGTAATTCAGCGTCCAGCGCGGCACCCCAGGCTCTGGGCGGCCCCCGATCCCCGAGCAGCCATAGCTAGACACCCCCGCGACCCACTGAGGTCTTCAAACGGCAGTACTTCCCGGACCAGGTGCTACGGTAAGGACTCAGCTCGGTCTGCGCGCCGCCACCCAGTCCCCTATGGGAGGGATGAGGGGGGGAGGCGGAGGCAGAGGCGGAGCTGGCAGAGAAGTGGGGGTGAGGGCCCTGGAGAGGACAACAAACAGCAGGCGCTGCCCAGCCTTCAGGGCTGCAACCCCCACCCCCACCCCGAAGTTCACAAGAGCATTTCCTTGGCTCTGGATCCTAGGGACCCAAGCCATAGCAGCTCGCGGGGTCCAGAGCAGCTTATTTATTTCAAGATAGGGTCTCCACCTGGCCTAGAGCTGACCTCGAATTCATGATCCTCCAAGATACTAGGATTACAGAAAGGTGTGGGCCACCTGTTTGAGCGTCAATATCCATTCACGTTCCTAATAATGTATCGAATGCAACCTAATCGGTAAACGAAAGACCCAGGGACTCAGTAAGCGCCCACCCACTGTGTGTGTTCCCACCGGGAGGGGGTGGTGTGGGGTGTGACAACGACCTTGAACTTACTGATTTCCACTTTGTCTTTCTTCATCATTCAAGTTATACTCACTTATTCCAGAAATTTCCTGTCACCTACCCTCCATACCAGGAAGCCTTTGGTGATCAGGTGAAATCAAGAGGGTTTCGGTATACCCAGGCATTTTGGAGCTGTGCCTATGAAGATTACCAGTGAAGCTCGGTGACACTTGTTTTCCCTGGGACGCTCTGTAGTAAATACCAGGCAGATATTCGCCTAGCCTGCTTAGCCTGCATGCCTCTCGGTGTTCCCTTATCCCGGAAGTTTGCTTTTACCTCCTTAGTGCAAGGCCCCCCAAATGGCTTTTCTAGCCCTTTGTGCATTAGTTATTTTTTGAATAGGGTCTCCCATTTATACCCAGAGAGTCCCATCCTATTTAAACACTTCTCTTAGCTAGGATGACAGGTCCACACCACTGGTGCTGCGTATTTCATTGGTTGAGATGGAGTCTCACCAACTTTCTCCCTTGGGCTGGCCAGGAACCATCATCCCCACCTCTCCACCACCCAAGTAGCAAGGATTATAGGCATGAGCCACCATGCCTGGATCTTGTAGATCCATTTTTTTCTGTCTCCATCTGATGTCCACTCACTTCCCTCTTGCCTCTCCACATTTCTGCCCTCTCTTCTAGGCACTTTGAGTACATCAGCTCATCAAATTCCCCCAGGTGATGTCCACCAAAAGGAGCATGAGGATGGCGGAAGACCCACTACATGGCTGCCTGCTTGTAACTTGAACCCAGAGCTTAGAGCTTGAGCCTTGTAAGGGGTCTCTGATCAGGCTGTTAAGCAGCCATGTTAAAGTGGCTCCTCAGCAGCCTTCCTTCCCAGAAGAAATTTGTTAAGTAAGGTTGGAAAATCACTGCAGAAATGGAGGGCAGATTTTGGAGCATCCTCATAAACACCAGCTTAAAATGGGAACATAACAGGTGTTGGATCACATTTGGAGAAGAACTGGCATGAGTTCTGCCCTCCTCTCTCCTGCTTTTGACAGTCTCCTTCCTACAAAGAACTACTGTGGGTCAGGCCGTGATGGATGGTGAAGTGTTATACTGAACAGCAACCATCCCTAGATGGCACTACTTGATGAAGATAAGATTCTGGAAGAACAAATGGGACCATAAATACTGCGATGGCCTTGGGAGGTAAGAAATCTTCTAAGCTTCATTATAACCTCACAAAGAGGGGGCATCTCTGTGATCTTAATTTCCCACATTGGCTTCTAATCCCTTTCCCTTAATCCCTCTACACAGGAAAGTCATAGCCATCAGAACACTATTAAGTCACTAGGTTCTCCTAATAGTATTTTAAATATTATCCAGGGATGGGAGTATTTATGTCAGTTTTAGGGTGAATTTCTCCAGTGGCTTTATGTAGACACTCTTATCACTCTAGAGAAGTAGACAGTAAAGGTAAGTACAAAAATTGAATTAAAAATTTTCTTGGTACCAAAAGGGTAAGACATCTTTGCTCCTCCCCTTTTGCCTTCAATATATTTTTAGGAGACATATACCCCAGAGTGTCTCTTTTAATAGAATCTTAAGATATGAATCTTAAGATATGTGACTCTTTTACAATTTTTTATCAGTTGTGCATGCTCAGAGGGACATTCCCCTTGAGAGCATCTCCTTAAAATGTGGGTAGAGAAGGAGGGTTTATAGGGACAAGCTTGATGTTTACCATTTATGAAATGGATTCATTCTTTGTTGAGAGGATTCACCATTGGCTTGAGATATTCCCTCTTTCTCTCTCCTTCCCCCCTCTCTCTGTCTAAATCATGGTGCTCTTTTTATTTTCCGACAGCAATAAACCCTTGTTGAAGAACTAATGTTCACTGAGCACCTGCTCAGTTCTGGATGCTGTGCTAAGATGACAGAGATCTGAGAAGTTGTCTTGGCAACCTCAGCTCCATACACAAAGTCCACATGGTAGCATTCTACCCCTTGGAAGCCCCAGTGTCACCACATAATAAATCAACCTTTTATTATTTATTGTATTTATGAACAACAGCAGAATGTAAAGTGGGTCACATCGCAAATTGTAGTAAATCCTCAAGAACACACAATAAGGGACACACAATAAGCCTAGTGGATCCATACATCAGTTGACTCCTGTCAGTCCACATGCATGCAGTTCAAATGCATATGAATAGCAACAATTGTATAAAAATTTGTCTAACAAGTTCCTTGACAATTGTTATTTCTGCCTGTTCATCTTCCATTTCTCCTTCTGGTATAAGACCTGTCCCTGCTCCACTTTCATGTCACAGGAGAAGGAAAGTTTTTGGTTGGGGCTTTCACAAGGACTCCAGACCTGGGCAATGAGAGTCACCATGTACCAACCAACTAATCATATTGATTGGCTCAGGAATGAGTATATGACTGACCCTGAACCAATAAGAGTGGCACCAGCAAACCCTGTGTGTTACCATTACCACCAAACTAATAGCAAAGATGGTGATCTTTTCCATGGCATGCGGAGATCCTGCTGAGAATGAAGCTATCTTGCACTGAAAATAGGTGGAGAGAGGTGATACCTGAACATTAACATCCAGCATCTCAGTATAGTCAAGCTGAAGCCTGTCACCCCCACTTCTTTTCTCTCTGTCTGCCTGTCTGTCTGCCTGCCTCTGTCTGTCTGTCTGTTGTCTGTCTGTCTGTCTCTCTCTCTCTCTCTCTCTCTTACACACACACACACACACACACACACACACACACATTTTAACAATTTGAATCCATTTCCATCCTATGACTGGAATTGCTTCTGAGGAAGGAAGGCTTCCTTTAGGAAATGCTATCTGCACTGCTGGGACTAGTTTGGGATAGTGGGAGGAGGGAGAGCACTGGGAAGGGAGATATTGGTTCTTTTGGGTGTTTGAGTCTAAGGTCTTCATCAAATGACCACGCAAGTGGTGCTCTGCCCCTTTGGGAATGGAATAAACCACACACAAGACCAGCCCATCCTTGAATGTCAGCTTTCCTAAGAGCAGAGCTAATGTATTATTGATGAGCCATAAATAATGGGGTAAGTGATTTGCTATTCAGTCCTGAAGTACAAAGGTGTAACACTGACATTTTAATGAGGTTTTTATGGCCCAGGTTCACTGTTTATACTCTGAAAACATGGAAGGCTTTCTCAAGAAAGCAGTGTTTTCCTTTACTTTTCATATTTTCCTCCTCTATTTGCCAGCATCCTTTTAAATACAGATATGAAACATTATAGTTAAAACAGCAAATAAAAAGAAACAAAACTTTATCTGAAGAACAGTGTTGCTTACAAGGGCTTATCTTCACTGGACAGAGCATAGAAAAATCAGGTGTAAGCTAGTCTCCCAGAAGTTTCCCCCATTCCTTCCTGGTCAGACATTTGACATAAAGCAAAGGATGGAGTCAAGTCCTGACTTAGCTACCCATTAACCTTGTGATCTTGGTCAAGTTACTTGAATTTACTTAGCCTCAGTTTCCTCATTTGTGTAATAGGGAAATTAATATTCCTCTTTCAGCATTAGCATGAAGTTGAGAATAATTCAATACACTTAAGTTGTTGGCCACAAACCTAGTTCAGGCTCCCACCTGACAGTACCCAAGTGGCACTAACTAAAAAGATGGTTGTCTCCAGTGGAAGCCCTAGACAGCAGGAAGTTGGAATAAACTTTCCTTACACTTTTTCATGTCTGACTTCTTATCCCAGAAATATACTTTTTTGTGTGTGTCAGCCCTGGGGCTTGAAATCAGGGCCTTGAGCCCCCTTGGCTTTTTTGTTCAAGGCTGGTACCATTTGAGCCACAGCTCTACTTCCATCTTTTTGTTGGTTAGTGGAGATAAGAGTTTAATGAGCTGTTTAACAAAATGAATACCAGGAAGTAGAAATGTGTTTTGAGGGGAGAAAGGGGAGAGGCACACAAATGGAGGGAGGGAAGAAGAGTGAGCAAAGGCAGTCATAAATTCAGTTTACATTATATAAAAATGAATTATGTAACAAGGATAGAGACAGAAGGGGGAAATGGGGAAAACAAAGGAAGAGGGAATATTAATCAAGATGCACTGTTCTCATTCGTTAACTTGTGGAAATGTAACCTCTTTATATAACTAATTTATACTAAAAGTTTTTAAAGAAAAGAATCTCATGGACTTTTCTGGCCCAGGCTGCCTTCCAGTCATGATCCTCAGATTTCAACTTCCTATTTAGCTAGAATTACAGGCATGAGCACCAGCACCAGGCAAACTATTTTTATTTTTATATTATTGTTTCAAGTGACCTGGTTGGAAATAATTTGTTATGAAATAATAGCACAGCATGTTTAATATTTTTATTAGCTCACTTTAGTTAATGAGGAGTCTGTTGTAATATTTCCTTACATGTACACAATGTATCCCATCAACCTCATCCCATCTGTTGATTTCCCCATTCCACTCTCTCCTTCCTAAAACAATTTCCTTGTTCTATTTTCATACATGCTAACAG